TGGCGCAGCGTTTCGCGGCGGATCACGTGCGTGTGCTGGTGATGCTTGCCCGGACCACACCTGGACTCGAGCGACGCCTCATGGAAGTGCTGTCTGATAACGGCTACGATGCCGTCCGATTTCGGCAGCGGTGGGAAGGCCCGCTTCGTGCGAACTGGATGCGCGACGACGCGGAGCAGGATGGACACGGTCGTGTTCCCCCTGTGGACATCCGTAAACGACGATCGGGATCTGGGCCTTGCTTCGTGTCTATAACCCATGGTGGACTGGTTTGGCCGGTAACAGGTTCCAGAAATTGTGTGACGCGGTTCAAGGTACTGTTTCGTTATGGCGACCTCGACGCCGGCGCGCCCTCGTTTGAGCTAGCGTCGCGTGCTGACCCCCAATCTTGGAACAAAAAGGGGCCTCCTCCGTTCTTATGCAGATTGTTTGTAGAATGTGATGAACAGGCAAAGTCACGTCGTGGAGGGCGCTATGGTGCACTGATGTATCAGAGTGGCAGGTCAACACACGTTCTCCAGGCGGATGCTCGGCAGTTGGAATGGTTCCATTTCGAGGCAGCATTTAACTGGCAGACTCACATGCTCGACCTGTCAGCCAATGGTAGTTTCTGGCGACTTCCTTTCTCCGCGTATCCGCTATCATCCGTCTACATTCGCAACGTTCGTGGCGCTGGAACGTCGTCTGCTGCCTCAGACTTTGGAGACATAGAGGTAGACTACTGTCGGATGTCAGACCAATGGGATAAGTTCAACGAGCTTGGCGAAGTCCTCCCATACTCGTGGTACAGTGCGCGGATGCTCTACCCCTATGACCCTGCCCCTCGCGACGCGATGCGGCCTACCTTGTAACACGTCGATGTCACGTCGGTAGGGGGGCAGCCGCCAGGGGCCTTAGGGGAAAGTGGCTGAGCATCGCCGCCATTCTCATCCCCGTCGGCCGCGTTTGCTTGCAGCAGCCTGCAGAAGGGAAGAGAGGAAAAGCAGCAGAAACCACCATCCTCCCGGAGCGAAAAGCAGAAACAAAAGCAGCAGACAGGAAAGCTGCAAAAGCAAACTTCCTCCTTGAGTGTGATCATCGTCGTCCTCGATCACCCTCCTCAGCTTCCTGAGCACTGGCACAGCCACCATCTTCCCCCTTGAGTGTGATCATCATTCTCCTCAGCCTGTTGAGGAAGGTTGAGTGTGATCATCATCCTCCTCAGCTTCCTGAGCACAGCCACCATCTTCCTCCCTTGAATGTGATCATCATCCTCCTCAGCCTGCTGAGGAAGGTTGCATCCTCCTCAGCCTGTTGAGGCAGACAGGACGTCACGCTGCCTCAAAGACACGCCAAACCCAGCATCCCAGCATTCTTTTTGCAAAAGGGGCTGCCTCCCTCGAAATTTTCGCCCGAAGCAACCCTCCTTTAGCACGACCAGCAAAGCGTGCAAAATATCATTATTAGACTACCCCCGCGAAAAAAATCTCTAAAAGGTGAGGTGGCAGATCACCTGCACAGGTCATTTTGTGCAGTTCAAGAAGGAGCATAATCTCTAAATTCATCCGGCACCGATCCATTCGCTTGCCATGCCATATCCTCGGGTAATGGCGCATCGCCATTTTCGGCTGGGGCCTTGTCGCTTTTTTCTGCCAACATCGGCTCCAAATTATCCACCAGTTCCAAAGCATCCCTCTCAGGACAATTCCTTTTAGTGTGGTCAGTGACGAATCTGAAGCAGCAATGGCAATAATGCCCCTTTTTTTCCTTTCCGTTTCCCTGGGCCTTCTTCGTCCTCTCTTTTCTTTTGACGCTTGGGCGCCCGGCACGGGGCCTGTAGGCGGGGGGCATGCAGAGTTTGGTATCTTTCAAGTCTATATGGCGTTTCACATCATGCATGTTCGGAACACGTAGAGATTCGACGACAAGGGTTCCGTCTGCCTCTTCCGTACAGTACACGTCTTTCCATGCCCGCGTTGTGTACTTTCTATCTGTCAAATTATAGAGATATTGCCCATTTTTTTTGGTCGCGACATAAGCATGCCTACATGGGACTCCTTTTTCTGTTCCAAACGAGCAGTCGCAGGCCATGCCTGGATTCCTGTGTTTCAAACGATCGAAGACCACATGGGCATCACCGAAAGTTGCGTCTTTCACTGTCGCACCCACCACTTTACCATTCGCATACGTGAGTGTCACATGCCTCTCTTGTATGTGTGCTGCTGCCGTTTCCTCCTCCCTGACTAGCGCTGCTACTTTCGGGGGGAAATGCTGCTGCCAGTCATGCGCTTCTTTGCTCCTGCGCTCGTGGTGCTCCTGGATTGATCGTGCCGCCTGGAATAGGCTGTATGCAAAATGGCATGAACGAAACGGCATATCCCTATGGTTTGCACTTTCCACACATGACGATGTCTTCAAACGACCTAGCTCTGCCCTTAAAGGGAATTGGTTTTCTGCAGACCATCCCTGTCCAAAAATCCGCTGCTTTGCTTGCGCATCATCATTGATGGCGTCTATCGCATGTTCCAAATCAGATGTCGTTGTTGCGTGATATGCTTTGGCGTACAGTTTCGCACATTTAGCGCCATGTGGCCCTCTTCCAAGGGCCTCTGACCTGTGCTTGAAATCAAGAAAATGAGTGACACCACCAAATTGGTATCCGTGGGCCGCGTCTCCTCCCTTGGAGGCATCAGATATGTCGACTGTCGGCGCGTCGAACTTGTCAACGAAGCTTTCGTAGCCCGGTATGGCCATTTTGGTACCATTGTTCAAAAGGACCCATGTGTCCTTACTCTCATTTGATAGACACCTCGCATGACATATATCCACTATGCAATTGTTTTGATCCGCTGCGATTCTCGTCCCTAAAACGCCAGGGTGTTGGCAACCTGCCACTCTGTGACAATGGGCAAAATCACTAGCGGTGACCTTGAACAAATGTTGATCATAAGTCTCGGAAATTCCGGGTGGAGCGAGAGTCCAGCCCCAAACAATCTTGCTCTCTGGGTCGAGCTGAATCATCTCTGTTTCGTTGAAAGCCTTTGCTATGAAACCGTCGACTGGCTTCCCTCCACCTTCGGCTTGTTTCCGCGCATATTTTTGTCTTTCAGCCCAAGACGATTTACATATCTTTATATACTCACTTTTGAATTCCTCTGGCGTTTTAATTACAAGTTCGCAATGCCAACCCAATTGCTTGAACGCCGCCACAAGGCAGGGTAGTAAGTGCAGCATCTCCTCAGGTGGTGCACCTACTATCCATGCTACATAGTCCTGCTTGAACCTCCCTAACCACGAGTCACATAAAGTCCGATTGACTTTCGGTTGCAGGTGCTCCCTTAGAACTGCTGACGAGAAAGTTTTTGTGTTTATCTGATGGCCGAGGTGTGCTACAACCTATGGAAGAAATGGTCATAAACTTTTTTGAAAAAAAGGGGGGGGCTATTCACTGGGAACAGGTCGATATTCTTGTACGCAATGGAGCCTTTCTGTTTCGTCCTCTTGAGATCGGTACGTCTGCATTGCTGGTCAGTGCATTGTGAGCACTTCCAATCCCGTGCTTTTGAGTCATACTTGAAAATGATGGAACAACATTGTGATTCACAACCATACTTTGTGATTCGCTTGGTCACTGCATCATGCAGGAGACCTGGATCCGCCGCCTGCTTTCCTGCTGGGCCATTGTGCGGTGTCTCGTTTAGTCGGCGTTTTTCCTCTTTTGCCTGAAACTGTACATCAGTCAAATAGGTCCCTTGGCAGTAGCACCAGAGGTCAAGGAGGGGTTCGCGGAAAAGAAGAGGAGAAATGGATGGACGACTTACTTCGGAACGGACACGACCGCGCAGGCAAAACGAAGTGGGCGATGGATGAACGCCAAACTTAAACTTAAGCTTTCTACACATGCAAATTTAAGCAACATCACAGGTACAGGTACGATGGGAGAGGTCGTATTGGCTACGGAGGAGAATGTTGACCAGCAGATAATGCATACAGACCATGAGGCCAAAAAAGGTAAGGAAGAAGAAATTGGGTTTATCGTCATCCCGGTCACAGAAGCAGGGACGAATTTATGCGTGTCTCGGGGATCACATAAAGTTGAATATTGTAAGAAAGAAGGGGACCAATGCATCCCAGCGGACTTCTCCAACGATGCTCCGCCGATTGAAATACCATTCGGGTATGCTATGATGTGCAGCAGTGAAAATTAGCAGCACTCCTCCCTCCCCTGAAAATTAAAATTCACCCCTACTTAAATTAAATTAACTCCTGCTCCATTACTTACTTTCTTGTTGGTTTTTACTCCCCCCCTTAAATATCCCCCTTCGTATTTACCTATAGTTTTGCCCCCCCCCTATACCATACCCCTTTTGTTGCCCATAAATAGGCGCAACGAGGACTACATCCTCGTGCGCAAGTACGAGCCGGCTCCGCGGACCGCGACGCCGACGGATGGGGCGCCGGCGCCCGCGAAGCTGAACCTGGGCAACAAGACCGTCTGGCTGCCCACGGCGGACATCGAGGACATCATCGTCGTCGCCCACGCCACGGAGCACATCGGCGTGCCGCTCAACGGCCTGAAGGACGTCTACGTCATCGACCGCGTCTCCGGGAGGACCGTGCCCGCGGGCAAATGGGCCGCGAGGCCCGAGGACGGCGAGCACGGCCGGCTCATGGGCCGGCCGACGCTGCTGCTCTCGCGCACGTCGAAGGTTTTGCGGTGGCGGTTCTGTCTGCGGTCGCAGGTCTACGCGCTCCTGTCCGGGGACGCCGTGAGCTCGGTCGCCGCGGACAAGACGGGCATCGGCTACGCGACCAAGAAGCTCGCCATCGACGTCATGGACTGGGACATCATCAAGCGCCTCGTCGGCTGCGCGGACGACGGCGGCGCGGCCCTCACGCGCTGCGTGGAGTCGAGCGGAGAGAGCAAAAAGTGGTCTCTCCGTCCCGACGACGTCATGAACGTCCGGCGCGGCGCCTCTACGACGATCCAGACGATCAACCTGACGAGCGACGCGCAGCTCGAGGACGTGACCGGAGCCCTGGGCTCGCTCTGGAACGTGGGCGTGAAGGCGAGCCTGCTCGACGGAAGCGAGTCGACGGAGGTCGGATTCGAGGATCCCGAACGGGCCGACGACGCGGACGAGTGCGTGGCCTGGACGCTCAATACCGTCGTCGGGCACGATGTCTTCGACGGGTCGACGCCCCTGGAGGAGCCTACGGAGCCCGAGACGGCCGACGCGAAGGACGACGCGGTCACGCGGCCGCCCGGCTGCCCGAAGCCGAACAAGACGCAGCTCGAGTGGGTGGGCAAGTTCTTCGACGACGACGGCGCGGTCTGGCAGGTCGACGACATCCGCTACGACGAGGAGGAGAAGCAGAATCTGGTTTTTACGGTCCGCGTGCAGCCGCCGCCGCCCGAGGACCGCGACTCCGACGACACGTCGTGGTACAACTGGGCGGAGATCCCGAGGTTCCGCCACTCGTTCTCGAAGCAGCTGCGCCTGCGGGCCGTCCGCTACGAGCGCGCGCCGAAGTCGCCGGGGCTACGCCTCCGGTACGTGAGCACGTGCGACGGCAGCGGCGGGCACCTCACCGTCAGCGTCTACTGGCGGACCATGTCCGTCGCCGACCTCGGCGGGAGATCACTCTCGCGCGCGTTCGTTTAAGACATCCGCGATTACTCGCGTCGCGCTCGCCTAGAGCGCGGGTATGCCGGAGTCGGAGTCGTCCTCCTCCTCGGACGAGTCGGAGTCCTCCGGCTCCGACTCGAAGTCGTCGCTGCTGTCGTCGAGCTCGGCGTCGAAGTCCTCGTCGTCGGACTCGGAGTCGGAGTCGGAGTCGCGGCGGTTCGCGCGATGGACCTCGGAACGCGCGGCGCGTTGGGCCGCGAGCGCGACGCGGCGGCGGGCCCCGCGCGCGGCGGCGGCGTCGCGGCGCTCCTCTCGCCGGCGCTCCGTGGCCGCGTCGAGGACGCTGTCGGCGCGGCCGGAGCTCCGGAGCGCGAAGCGGCCGGCCCAGGTCCCGATCGAGTCGCACTTGCCGACCGTCGCACCGCGCGACGCGCGGAGCTCGGCGCCGCGGTTGCACGCGCCGCCGTTCTGCGAGTGGCGCTTCTTGCGGCCCGTCAGGCGGCCGTTGAACCGCTCCTGGCCCTCGTTCTGGTGGCGGTAGAGGGGCCCGTAGAGCTCCATCATGTCGCGCAGGTGCCCCGCGATGATGTCGTGGAAGTAGGGCGTGATGCTCTCGGGCCCCCAGATCTCGACCATGAGCTTGCCCATGGCGTCGGCGTGGCCCTGGAAGGTCGCGGGCATGCTCGGGTCCGTCTCCCAGGACTTGGTGTTGACGATGTGGAGCACGAAGATGAGCTCCTGGAGGAAGAGTTTGACCTTCGGGAGTCGCGCGTCGTCCGGAAGAAGCTCCTCCGCGACACGCTCGAGCAGCAACACATTGATCGTCGGCGTGCCGTCGCCGACGTCCACGGTGCGCGTCGTCTCGCCGCCGGCGCTGTTGGCGTGCTTGACGGTGATGATTTGGCGATTTGAGTTGCATATTAAGGATGTTCTTACGATCTTTTTAGCGCGCTTCGCCGGCATACTGAAGACCCGGAGCTTCGTCGTGCCGGCCTTCCACGCCGCCGCGTCGGACCCCTTTGCCTTGCGGTGGGCGAAGGACGCCGAATCGAGCCCCGTCTGGATGGCCGCGGTCGCGCGGTCGAGCCTGGACCCAATTTCAGCAGGCAGAAGGCCACTCTGAGCGTGGAGAGGCATCTTGTAAAGAAGTGAAAGGGTGTGGATGACCACTCGGAGCGTCAGATGCAGCGCGCAATCGACGATCTTCGTCACGTCGAGGAGGTGCCCGTCACGCGAGACGAGTCGACCGCGGTCGTGCGGGCTCAGGAGCTCCCAGAATTTCAGGACCTGGCGCACGTGTAGCAGGCGCTCCGCGTCGCCGAGGAGCACACGGTGGGCGTCACGGAGCTGCTTCCAGGCCTCGGGCGTCGTAGGCTTCGGCGGCTCCTCCCGGCCCGACGCCTTCGCCCATCGACGCGCGTCTCGGAGCACGTCCTTGTCCGGCGCGCGGTTCACGTGGCGCTTGTTCGACGGCACGTCGGCGCCACGCACCGTGAGGCAGTCGCACTTGGCGCGGATCGCCGACTCGATGGTCTCGAGCTTCGCGTCGCTCCTGAGCTTGATCTCGAGCTTCCGCACGATCTCCTTCGCCTCGGCCTTGTTCCGCCAGAACGGCAAGACCTGGTCCGGCAACGTGCCCACGCGCTCCGCCAAGGCCTTCTCGCGGTCCTCGAAGTACTGCTTCGTCGCGGGCGTCGCCATGTCCCAGTGCGTGCAGGTCGCCTCGGTTCCGGCCTCGCGACACCGTCGGCAGCCGCCGGGCTGCCCGTGGCCGGCCATGGACCGCGCGCAGGGGCAGAAGTTGCAGAGATGGTAGCCCACCGTCGCGCAGCGGAACGGGCCGAACTCGTACTGGCCCACCTTGTCCAGCGTGAAGCAGCAGCAGATGGGCATGCTCGAGTCCTTCCGCCGCTCCTCTTCCGCGAGCAGCGTCTCGACCATGGGCCCCAGGTTCTTGCCGACCTCGTCGCGCTTGGTCTTGAGCTTGCCCGCCGCCAGGACCGTGCAGGCGTCGCCCTCCTCGTTGGGCTCGGCCTGGTACATGCCCTCGAAGTCGTCGTCGTGCTCCGCCGCGTCGTCGTCGTCGGACGCGTCGTCGTCGACGCCCTCGGAGCACGCCGTGGCGTAGGCCGTCGCGGCGCGGGCCTTCTCGTCGAGCTTGCGCTTCCTCTGCTTCGTGGGGTAGAGCACGACGGGCTGGACGTGCTCGTCCATCTGCGGCGACTCGCGGACGTTTTTGCTCAGGCGTGGATCGCAGTGGTGGATCGCCATGGCCATCAGACCGGTCCCGCCGACGCCAGTTTCGCACGGCAGCTCGTCGGCGGCGCAGCCGATCATCATGGGGATCGGCGCGTCCGGGTCTGAGCCAGGCCGTCGCCACGCGCCGGAGTTGGGGGACGCGTCGTACGCGGCCTGGTAGCCGTAGATGTCGAAGGTGCTGGGCATGATCTTGCCGTGGTCGGCGTGCCACATCTCGCCCTCGCCCGCGCACATGAGGCCCTTCTGGGCGACGTAGGCGTCGAGGTCCGCGTTGACGCGCTGCACGCTCGACGCCGACGGGATCACCGTCTGGCCCGTGACCCGCTTCTCCTTCGTGCCGTGCTCGCCGAGCTCCTTGCGCATCGCCGTGAAGGCCGAGTAGTTGAGCTTGCTGTCGTCGACGAGCTTGGCGCCCTTGCGCGCGTTGAGAGCTCGCCGCTTCAGCACGTCGGTCTCGATCTTCTTCCACAGCCTGCCCGCGTAGAGGCGGCGGGCGAGCGAAAAGAGCTTCTCCATCCGCTGCTTCTTGCCGCGGCCCAGGGACTTCTTCGCCGCCTCGGACACGTCCTTGGAGTCGACGGCGTCGTCCATGAACGCGACGAGCGTCTTGATCTCGTGGGCCGTCGCGTCCTTGGGCGACAAGCCGCTCTGCTTCATGCGGCGCCGCGCGTTCTCCTCGCGCTTGGACCGCTTCACGTGCTTCTTGTAGAGGAGCTTGCCCGACCGCAGCATCTGCTTGGCCGTCGCCCGCAGTACCTCGATGTTGGACTCGTCGTCGAGCTCGGCATGCAGCATCGTGAACACGCGCATGCCCGCCTGACCCAGGGCCTTGGGCGACGTCGTAGGAGTCGCCAGCGGGGCCGTATGAGTCGCCGTTGGAGTCGCCGTCGCGGGCCGCGCCGCGGCCGCCAGGGGCTGCGCCGTAGGACACGGAGGAGATGCCGTAGGAGCCGTAGTCGTAGGCGCAGTAGGAGCCGGAGGAGTTGCCGTGGCAGCTGGCGTAGTAGTCGCCGTTGGACCCCTAGGAGCCGCAGGAGTCGTCGACGTCGCCGCGGGACGCGTCCCGGCCGCCAAGGGATGCGCCGTAGGAGCCGTAGGAGCCGCGGCCCTGGGCGTCGTCGGCGGCAGCGCGCCGGACATCATGAGCTGCGTCGGCCACGCGCAGACGGCCATCGGGACGCCCATCTGGCCCGGCGGCGTGACCGTGTACTGCGCGGGGATCACCGGCGACATGATCGACTGCGTCGGCCCCGCCGCGAAGGTCTGAGCGGGCGGCGTCGGCGCGACCGCCTGCCCGCCCGCCGCGTGGAGCACGTGCAAGGGCGTCGGCGCGACGGAGTTCCAGGAGGCGAGCGGTGGCCGGGAGCGCGCATCGACCGCAGCAGGTCCAGGAGGAGCAGCGAACCGCGCGAGCATCTCATCCTTTGGGGCGTTGGCCGAAGGCAGTCCCCGGAGTTTGAGCGCCTTGCGGAGTTGAGGCCGACTCCAGGACGTGTTAGGAGCGTCATCCACGACCGCCAGCGGCGCCTGCCACATCTCAACGACTCACAGTGTCGCGGGGCTGCTTTGGAACCAAATCCAAACGGGCAGCCAGCGAACGCTTGCAGCGGCATGTTGTGCTGCACCTTGAAGTGCGCAGCATGGAGCTCGTTGCTCGCCCCACCGAGCGCTGGTCGCATGCACCGGCGTCGCTCTGGCAGCGGCATGGCGCCAGAGACGACGGCCCAGACCGAGAGCACGTCCGACGCTGACCTTTGGACCAGGATTGATGAAGTTTAGACCAATCGGTGTTGATTTTAGCCTTACTAAGCGCTACCGCCGGGCCTCGGCTTCACGCTCGTTGGGTCGAAGTGAACAAAATAAATAGGGCAACAAAAGGGGTATGGTATAGGGGGGGGCAAAACTATAGTAGCCCTATGGTTGTTTTCGGCCTTGGAAATACAGTACCCAGTGAAACACACTCAATACAAATAGCTAGGAAAGCGCACTTGCGGCCAGTTAACATAAACGAAGAATCTGTGTTAGCTGTGATTCGACTATGTTGAGACTGCTTCCGCAGTGCGAAACAATTCCTCCGTAGTAGGCCTCGTAGTTACGTCACGAACTCGGCCGGGCAGAGCGCCGCGCACCGCTCGGGCGGTCCAGAGCCGCGGCGAAGAGGCGGCGCGCCTCGGCGTAGACGTCGTCGTCGACGTTGCGCGCCGCGCGCGGCACCGTGCGGTTGTGCGGCTGGGACCGGAGGTGCTCGAACTCCACGGCGAGGCAGGGCGCGCCGAACTGGAGATGGAAGAGGCAGATGGACTCGGCCCAGCGCTCGACGACGCCGACGAACGCGAGGTCCCGGAGCCGCGCGATCGCGGCGTCGCGCGTCTTCTCGTCGCCGCGCCCGGCCTTGGAGCACGTGCCCCGCCCCGCGAGCGTGCGCGCCATGCACCCGGCCGTGGCCTCGGCGAACTGGCGCGCGTTGTCCGCCGGCGGGCCCTTGGGGTTGCGGTCGCCGTGGATGTTCACGTGGTTCCACGCGGCCTCAGCGCGCGCTTGCGGCTCGCGCAGAAGCGCGACGACGCGGTCCGCGCCGCCGACCTCGGCGAGCAGCCACGCCGAGAGGTCGTCGTGGCGGCCCCAGCCGGCGCGCACGGGCACCGCGAGGCGCGGGCAGCTGCGGCCCTCGATGAAATCCGGCGTCTTGCCCAGGAAATTGGCCTCGGACGCGTTCGCGGGCACGCCGTCGCAGAGCGCGTGGACGACGGTGTTCGCGAAGGTCGAGCCGCACTTAGGAATGTGCAACCAGTAGAGCATCGTCGGCGCCGCCTTGGCGGCGCCCCCCTTGTCGCAGTCCAAAGCCCGGCGAGCCTGGTCCAAGAGGCCGATGTGGCCGGCAGCGACGGAGGCGGAGGCGCAGATCTCGGCCTTGCACATCTGCGCGAGGTGGCTCTGGACGTTTCAGACGCAGGGGTCGACCTGGACGGGCGTCCAGCGCGGGTCGTCGAAGTTCTGGTAGAAGAACCAGTAGATGAAGCCCTACGACGCCGGGGGGTTCCGCGACGTCGGGCGGCGCGCGCGGACGCGGCGCGCGCGCCTGCATACGCGCGTCGAACTTGAGGTGGAAGGGGCCCCAGCCCGCGCCGTTCCAGCCCGTCTCTTGGGATACCTGCCGGAGGCGTCCGTCGCGCGGGGTTCTCTCGGACCGGAGGCGGGCGGGAGGGGACCGGGCGCCGGGCGCCGCGCGGTCGCCGTGGAGAGCGCCGCGAGGAGCGCGTCCCGGAGGGCAGCGCTCGGCTGGACGACTGTGAAGGCGCCGTTCATCGCGCTGTGGGCGCTCCGCGTCGTGATCACGTGGCCCGCCGCCGCGCAGTCGAAGATGGGCCGGAGGCTTTCGACGTCGTCGACGTCGAAGTCGTTGTCGACGACGGCGACGGCGTCGTAGTCGGCGAAGCCGAAGGCGTGGAGCTTCATGAACTCGCGGGCGCCGCAGCACCCGCCGCTCTCCAGGGGGACGCCGGGGCTGAGATTTGGCGGCGCAACCCAGTCCGCGTGGCGCACGATCACGCCGCCCTCCGCGAGGCGCCGCGCGACGCCGGCGTCGATGGGCTCGCGCTGGAGGTCGCGGCGCGGCACGACGAGGATTACGTCGACGCCCGCGCGCCGCCCGAGGGCGGCGATCTTGAGGCGGTGGTCGACGGCTGTCTCGTTGTCGCAGCGCGTCCGGTTGGTCGCGCCGCAAGTCGACTCGATCGCGACGTGCGCGTCGAAGACCGACGCGATCGCGACCTTGTTCGCCGCGCCCCGCGCGCACGTCGAGACGTCCAGGCACGCCACCTCCCGCCCCTGGGACGTGCACCGCCGCGCGTCCTCCACCTTTTCCTTCCACCACGGCTCCCGGAGCGTCCCGCAGGCAAAGGGAGCCAGTAACAGGAGCCGAAGCGCGAGGCCCATCGCGGTCGTCGCAAGTGACGAGCCGACGTGCGGCACCAAAACGACCCGGCTGCGCTTTAGCACGCCTCCATCACCCGCCGATCGCGCGGCAGCGTGCTGAAATACGGCGACACGCGGCCGCCGCGGCCATTGGAGGGGCGCCTCCCGACGCTCCAGCGCTCTGTCAACTCTACGCGCACGCGCGCGCGACTTTCTCAGTGCGCGAGACGATTTCCCGGCGACTGACGCGAAGAAGCCCTCGACCAGCGCGCGGTACACGATCGCATTCGGGTGTGCCGCCGAACGCGCGGCACGCCGCGCAGCTTCTGACCGAGAGGCGCTGTCCAGCCGCCTATTTGCCGACGGGACCCGGACGACTCGGTCGGCGCAGACGTTCGGACGGCCCGCGAGGAGCTCCCACGACGTGAGCGACCTCGCCGAGGCCTCGAGCGTCCACACGGACCTCTACGACCGCCAGGACTAGCTCGGTCGCGTCCAGAACCCGCACGAAGGAGAGATTTTGGTGTTTCGAAGCCGAGCCCACCATAGCCGTCCCCGTAAAACGACCTTTACACGCGGCCATCGACTCCGTTTGACATAGTTTGGATCTTCGGGGAGCCGCCAAAGACCCCCCTCGGCCCTCAGAACCAACCCCCCGTGGCCCCGGGGCACGCCCGACGCGGCGGACAGCGCGGCAGCGCGGGTACTTTCATGCTGAATCTCGCTTGTAGGGATCCCTAGATTGCTATCCTACTATGCGGTGATTCCCTCCCGCGGGCGGGGTTTATTCGAACATGTTCTCGAGCGTGCGACTGCGGCCGGGCAAGAGATTTCTACCATCGTGCTCGTTGCCTCTGTCACTTCTGGTCCTGCTGCTTGCCTCGCGCGCGCGTGCTCTAGTATCAGAGCCGCCGCATGGCGGGTGTCAGCTGGTGGTGATATTGGCGGGCATGCCACGGGCTGGTAGCACGTGGGAACAAAAGCTCGTGAAAGCTGCGTTGACAAAATTGCACCTGGAGGTCGCGCACGTGTCTTATTGGGACTACCCGAAGCACGTTAGCATGGATTCCAGAGACGCCGAGCTCTGGTACAAAAGCGAAGCGAATTCTCTGAGTCGCTTGACGCGAAACTCAACCGTGCTGTTCAAGACGCATGAATTCACCGAAGAGCCCATGAAGCTTTGCCAGCGCGCCATCGCTTTCACCAGTCACCGATGTCTCGACGACGAATTGCGATCAGCGGCTGGGGCCGGGTGGATGCCCGCGCGAGCGGCCAATTTCGCGAATGCCGTTAGAACGTGGGCGACAGCGTACCGACGATGGAAACTCTGGGGCGCAATCGACATAAACTACGATGAGGCGCTGAAGAATCCCTCGGCTGCGTTCCGTATCATCATCGACCACGTCGCATTCGCGATGAACGTCAAACCGTCGGAGATCGACAAGCTGGGGCCAATACGGGCGCCCTCGATGGGCGAAGCCAACCCAGGAATTCCATCGTCAGCGTCGAAATCTACTGTTAGCGAGGAAGATTTCCTGCGGGAAGTCACAGAGGCGAAAGAGCAGCTGGCTTCCGAGCGTCTTTCCAGTCTCGGGCTCGGCTGGTGTGTTTGAGCTTTATTTTGAGTCATGTTACTGGTCGGGCATTGCCCAGTGAACTACGAACGTTGAAGCCCACGATAAGGGAGAGTGCAGTGTCATCTCCATAGTGTGACGTCGCGAGAATAGGGAGCAGGGCAGAATTTCTCTTCACTCAACCTCCGAGTCCGAGTCAAGCTTACTGACCATCCTCCCTTCATTCCTCTCAGTGGGATGTCAGTCTCTATCATATCCCGCCGGCGGGATATGCTAAACGCCGCTTCAACTTGAGCAGATTTACGCGCTCGCAAGCTTGTCATTCTTAGTCCCCTTATGCAGCCTGAGTCAACAGCAGCGTCGCACCGACTGTGTGGTTCGCGAACTGTATAACGCGCGCTGGCAGAATACCACAGGCCTTGTAAGGGGATTTAGCTAGGCCAGCCCTTAAGAAAACGGGCACTTGAAGTTTAAACTACGCTTTCTTGCGCTCTCTCTCTCTCTCAGAGAGCCTAGCGCCGCGGGTCCACGCCCAACTTCTCCGCCGCCTTGAGGAACGGCTTCCCGTGTTCGACGTCGCGGACAAGGCGCGCCATCGTCTTCTCGAAGGACGAGCGCGGCGTCGACGAGCGCGCGCGCCGAGAATATCCTGGAGCCGCGCCGCATACTCGTCCACGTCTCGGACGCTGAGCGCCTCGAGGATCGCCACGGACCGCGCGTTGGGCCGCGCGCCGATGATCGACGCTCCAGGTGAGGTCGTCGACGCCTAGCGCCTCGAGCGGGCCGCGCGGGAGCTCGTCGTCCAGGAGCGTGCCCTCGATCGAAGATTACCGCAGCGATTCCAACCTTGTCCGGTCTCGGCGCCGGCGCGGCTGCCTCTTGTCGTCGTCCCAAACTTGGACGCGCGTCCGTCGTCGTGCTGCGTCGCCGTAATGGAGCTCACTTCAGACGGCTGCGACATCGCAACTGCTGCCGCCCGGAAGTAAACAAATAAATAAATCAAACTAAATACACCCAGAATCTGCGTTCAATAGACTCATAGTTTCCGTCCACGTGGCCTTTCGTATTAACATATCCCGCTTCGAGCACGCTGAGCAGAAGGTAAAAAGAAAATAGCTATACGGATTTTGTGTGCTGCGCAATGCTCGCAGGGGCAGCTGCGAGAGTTACGTGGACTGACCTACTGGCGACGACGGCGGCGGCGGCGGCGGCGGCGGCGGCGGCGGCGGCGGCGTCGTCGTCGTCGTCGTCGTCGTCGTCGCGCGCGCGCGTGGGGGAATTGGACCAGTCCTCGGGGGGCGGCTGCGTCGGCATGATGTCCTGCGGCGTGCCCTGCGGCGTGCCCTCCTTCAGCGGCTCGTTGCAGACCTCGCAGATGTCCGCGCCGGGCTCGTTCAGGAAGGTGCACGCCTGGCACGCGACGCGCATCCGCGCCTCCGTGTCGACGGCGTCGTGCATCTCGTCGGAGTCCGACGCGTGGTCGAGGCTCATGCGGCGCACCGGAGAAGAAGGGGGCGTCGCCTTCTTGCCCTTCTTGCGCGCGCCGTCCTCGGGGCGCGACCCCGCCTCGCCGCGCGCGCGCTGCGGGTGCTCGTCCCGGTCCGCGTTGTAGGCGCCGTCGCCGGCGTCCTCCGTGCCCGAGCTCGCTCCCGACATCGCCGAGGAGAAGGAGTCCCGGAGGCGCGTGAAGAGCTCCATCGCTGCCCAGCGATGGCTGCCCCCACGGGTTTAAACGGGTTGAAGCTTAGCTCATTTACGATGATTCGTAGCTCGACAACAATGACTTTATTACGAAACTAGGATTAGGTTTTTCTACATTAAGCTTAAGCTTTTTTAAAAAAAAATTCCATGCGCATCTCCGGGACCGTCGTGACGTTCTCGACCGTCGTCTCCGTCCTCACGACCCTCCTGCTCTCCGTCGGGCTCACCTTCTGGAGCGCCTAGCCCCGGCGGTCCCCTGGCGATGCCCTTATAAGTCGCTGCGTCGTGCCGCGTCGGCGGCCCTTGGGGGCGGCGTCTCGACGTCGCTCGGCCTCGCGTCGTCGTCGGCGCCGAAGTTGAACGCGTGGCGGTTGGCGGCGAGGCGGGACGCGCCCGCGTCGGCTGCCGCGCAGACTGGTGCGCCCGCGCCGAGGACGAGGTGCGGGAGCCAGGCCTCGTTCCGGCACGCGCCCTCCGGACAGGACTTGCCCCAGTAGCTGGCGTGGGCGTCGTACGTGTCCGCGACGGCGGGCGCGCCGGCGCGCGTCGCGTCGACGACGTCGGACCGGGCCGCGAGCGCGGCCTTGAGCTCGGCGACGGTCGAGGGCGTGCGCTCGAAGGCGGCCGCGGGCAGCGAGAGCCACCACCAGCGCACCGTCGAAAAGTCCGACGCGAGCGCGACGGCGGCTTCGAACGGCAGGACGCCGCGCGTGCCCGTCTTCCGGCGCGCGAAGGCCAAGGCCGTCGCGAAGACGCGCACGAAGGTGGCGCCCCGCGCGTAGTGGTACAGATCGTAGCGGGCGTGGACGCCGTCGCGGGACGGCCGCAAGGACGACAGGAGGAAGGTCGGGTCGGCCCAGAGGACGTCCGTGCGCGCGACGACGACCGAGGCCTTGGGCCGCAAGCGGTCGCCGAAGGCCTCGACGGCGAGCGCGAGCTGCGCCTCGGCGTGCGCGCCGTCGGGCACCGCCGCGACAGCGTCGTCCGAGTACGCGACGCGCGGCCCCGCGAGCGCCCGCGCGACGCGAGCGTCGTTCCGGTACGCGACCGCGAACGTTTCGCAGCCCGCCGCGCGCGCCCGGAGGTCGCGCAGATGCGTCGCGTCCCGCACCCGAAGCACACCGACGTACAGGACGGCGCACCCCTCGTCGGCTTCGGGACGACGCGCGGACGCGGACGCGGACGCGGACGCGGACGCGGACGCGGACGCGGACGCGGACGCGGACGCGGACGCGGACGCGGACGCGGACGCGGACGCGGACGCGGACGCGTCGTCGACGCCGCAGCGCGCGCCGACGTCCGCGCTTCTCGCGTACGAGGCGGCCAGGAGCGCGGCTCCGAAGCGACGGTCGCGCGACGCCCAGGAGACGCGCTTCGACACGGTGCGACCGCCGTAGACGGACGCGAAGACCACGAGGTCTCGACCGATCTCCGTCCATCGGGCCGTCACGACGACGTTGTCGATCTCGAGCCGTCCGGTCGACTCTGGCCGCACGTCGCCCGCCACCGTCTCCGCGGGCCGCGTCGCCGTCGCGCGCGCCGCCGCGTCGACGTCCACGACTGCGCAGCTCACGCCGCCGCCACACGCGGCGTCGCAGTTCGCGCAGGCCAGCGCGAGGCCGCGCGAAAGGTTCGTCGCCGCGTACGGCCGCGCGTCGTCGAGCTTCGAACGCACGCGGCCGCACCCGCCCTCGTCCGAGAACACGCAGCCCGCCACCGACGCCCCGCACCCGTCCTCGCGCGTGCGCCACATCGCCGCGCGGATCTCGTCCTCGAGTTCCGCCGGCCGCGCGTTCAACGGCAGCTCGTCGACGACAGCAGCCGCCGCGTCTGCGACCGCTTCGTCCGACGCGTCGCCCGGCCACTCCACGCGCATAGAAGCGGCTTCGAAGACGTCGTTTATCTGCAGAGCGCACCCATGGGACTCGAGCGCGCTGTCGGGGAGCGCCACGGCCACGGCCACCGCTGCGAGAGTTTGCCAAAGCATTCGGGCGGCGCTTGAGAGCGAAGGAGTCCTGGTGTGGGACAGGGAGACCCAACGCTCAATCGAGCAAGGTCCCGAACACTCCCCTGGACCAGATCACACGAGTTTTTTATTCCTAATTTTATTTTCTTTCATAAAACACTTTATAGTTTCTATGTAATGTTTCCTTAGTTTACCATCAACTTGTAAATTGTGATGGTTAGTGTACTGTTGTAATGTTGATAATTTCATTTTGGTATAGATGGCGCGTTTTTCGCGACCCCGCTTCTTTGCGATGCGAAAGTCGCCCACCGGCTTGCAGGGGCGCGGCAAATGGGCATGCTCCGGGGGCTTCGGGGGCTTCGGGGGCATGCTTCGTAACTGCGTCGATCGTATTAGACACGGTTGCAGGTGGACACACATCGACGCTTCTCCACCTGCAGAGTATCACCGACGACCATCCCGAAACTAATCGCCCGTGAAAGTTTCGGACGATATATCTAATTCAAGGCGATTATATATTATGGGGTATGGTAGCCATTGGCAACTTCGAAGGGCCGTTGAAAATCGCAGAGGGGTGGACGAAAAAAACGCGTCTTACAGCACTGCGGGCCTGTTGGAGAAGTCTGCGGCAAGCCTAGAACCGGAGAAACTCCCAGTTGCAAATTCCACAAGAGAAGACGGCCTACCGTCGAGGCGCGCAGGAGCGGCGCGCAGGCCGCTCGCGAGGACGGCTGGTCTCCATAAACCACACCATAACACATTTACAACCCCTAAAGCTCAGCGCTAAAGCTCCGTGATGAACTTGTGCTTGAGGTCATGGGTGTAGTCGGCGGACGAGCCACCGAGCTTGCGGAACTCGCCCTTGGTCGTCGCGGCCTCCGCGGCCGCGTTCGCGCGCGAATAAAACCCCGAAAACGGTACCTCCGGGGACGACCGGACAACCGAGCGACGACGCTCACCGGCGTCCGTCGGCGGGGTGTCGGTGGCCATTTAAGTGGGAATGACCCCGCGTCGATAGCCGGACCTGACTCTACCTGACTCTCCGAAAGTCAACATCTCGTCAAGGTGCCGACACGAAGGCCAAAACAGACGTGCTATGCGACGGGCCAGGACCGCTTCGGGCGGGAGCGAGGAGGCGGCGCGGGACACGCCGCGGCCGCGGACCGAGGACCTCGAGACCGGCGTGCCGCCGCCGCTCCTCAAGCATGGCATCGACGTGCTCCGCGCGCTCGCGACGGCGGCGGCGTCGACGGCTGGACGCGCACCATGCGCTTCAACGACGGCGAGTCCATCGCGCGGGACCTCAAGGACAAGGAGGGCACCGTCTTCGCGTGCGCGACGCCCGCGCGCGGCTACCAGGACGAGTTCGAGCTCTTCGTCGCCGCGAAGGGCCCGCACGGCAACGTCATCGAGACGCTCCGCGCCGACCAGACCATCAACGGCATCAACTTCAAGAAGGGCCGCCTCCTCGTCTACTGCCACGACCTCGCCCGCGTCCACGACGACCCGGCCCGCCGCACGTTTGAGCTCGAGCCGACGCTCCGCGCCGTCGAAGCTCGGATGGTCCGGAAGACGGGCGTCGCGCTCGACGACGCGGGAGACGCGCCGGCGCCCGCTGACAAGCCCAGGACGGGCCTGTCGGCGGCCTTTGCCGCCGTCGACGGACGCCTCGTCGTGCTGTCCGAGGCCGAGAACGCGAAGACCGTCGCCGCGTGCGACGGGTGACTCCGCGCTCGCCGTCGTCTCCCGCCCCGCGCGTCCCGCGCCACAGAGCACCTCGCGACGATCTTTTAGCAGAAACTCATAAAAAGAGGCTAGATCGACGAGGAATCGGGGTGTTTCGGCGGAACAACGGTCCTTTAAACGCGGCTATGGTTTACCCCAAAATCGGGGTCTGCTGGGGGTCCCTCCGCGTGGCGGCAGCCACATTCATTCTGGCATCTTTAATTGAAACTGAGCTCAACCTCCCCTTGAGGGAGGATTTTACTTGCTTCCTTTAGCTCAGGCTAGTGGGAGATACGAAAGGCCAAGTGGACGGAAACAGATTTTACTGCCGTAGACTTCTAAATGCAACCTCTTGGATTTCATTCTAGAGAGCGAGCCTGACGAGTAGAACAGTACGTTTCACCACCCCGAGTAATTCCTCGGTATACGAGTCATAGCCAGCGCTCGTGGCAGCAACCTCTATATCACCTGCACATAAGGAGCGCGTGTCGAAAGGGCTGAGACAATAAATAATAAACAGCAGCTTATTCTCGCTCTCTCCTTCGGGTGCTACTTTCCTAGCTAATCAGAGATTACCTGTACCATGCGATGGATGCGCTGGTTCTTCTTGGTCTTAGGCTCGGCGCTGGTGACAGAGCTGGTTCCAAAGCTGAGCGAAGTCGCGCCATCGGTCCGCCTGGGCACGATGGAGGTTTCTGGTCGGACGCGCGGCGGCGCGACGGGGCGCCACGGATCCATGTTTCGAGTGCGCGTAGAACACGGTGTGGGCCGCGCACGCGGTCGCCGACTCGACGCCGGCGAGTCGCACGTCTCGGAGCGCGACCGCAAGCACGTAGCGGCGCTCGAAAGAACCTGGCTGCAGCTATGGAACGAGGAAACGAGGGCTGGTCGCGGCGCACTAAATGTTTCGTCGCTGTTCGTCCGTTTCGGTGAGGCGTATCGGGACCTGGGCCTGCGGGGCGTGACGCGCGTCGTGTATCGGCAGTACCCGGGGCAGCTAGATTGGGGCCTCGGGCCGCACCATCTCCTCGGCATCTGGGCGGTCCATCAGCTGAAAAACTGGGCCGTGAGTGATATCCTCGACGTCTTCTACGCCAACCGCGATGAGGCCTTTGGCTCCTCGATCCACGGAGCAGTGTGGACTTGGAGCCTGCGCCATCGCGCGCACGTGACCGGGCGATCGTTCTGGCCGGTCCTTCTCCGGGACTTGGGGCTCGAGTCGAAAATGCGTTTTTCACCGCACGTGGCCAACTCGAAGAGCTTTCTCTACAAAACGTACGGCCCACGACGGTGATGTTTGGTGTGTGGTTTGAGGCTGTTGAAAACGAGTGGTGTGTGGTTTGGGGGCATCGAAAATCGACGATCGATGTGTGGTTTGGGGGCCACGAGTCGGCAGCAGCACGTTCGGCGCGCGTTCTCAGCCACAATGGCGTGTGGTTTGGGCTGCCAGCATTAGAGTGGTTTGTGGTGTGAGCACCACCAATCACATCACCGTCGTGGGCCGTAAACGTGCCACGGAGCGGGACACGCGGCGTTCCTTCTCGCCGCGACCCGGACTCTCGGATGGCCAAAGTACAACCCAGAGATGTGGCTACCCCCGCGGCCCATCTTGCTGATCGATCCGGATGTATTCCATCGGTTCGTCCTCGCGACTTGCGCGAGGGCCCCGACGGCGTCGCACGCGGACGCGTGCGCGTCGGGCGCCTACCATTCGTATTTCTCGTGGTCCGCGCCGCGGTTTGGCGGGGTTATTCCGTGGTACACGCCCTGCGCCGACGCGCCGTTTGGTTTCGCCAACGTGTGCTTCGTCATGCTCAGGCTCGTCTCGGACAATTTAAGGAACGTCCCCGCGACCGAGGACGCGAGGCGCTGCGACCACGGCGAGGACCAAGCGACCCAGCTTGCGTGTATCTACGGCCTCGCGCACCGGCCGACCAGAAACGCCTCGGAGCTGTGCGACCTCTCCCGTTTGAGCGGCGACCGCCTGCTCTCGTGCGTGAACGGATCCGTCGACGCGACTTTCGGAAGCATGTTCCCGCTAAACACGCGGGAGGCTTTTTGCGAACCGCTCGGTCAGTTGAAAGACGTCTGTGTGCGCCGAAGCCTCGTCTACTGCAATTCGTTCGGCGCCTGTCGCGCCTGACGACCCGAATCCTGGGCGCTGGCGTGGTGTTTGACTCTGGCGCAAGCACACACCAGCATTCGGGAAAGCATCTTTATACCCTTAAACAGTGATTAAACAGCCGGGGTTCCTAGGTATCGGCCTTGGATGTCGAGTCTCGACAAAAAGATCGACTGACTTCGGGCGACGAGCCGTGCCGCGCCGGCGCCCAGGGCTCGTTGCCCGCCCTTTTCGAGTCGGGCAACCCGCGCGCGCACGGCCTCGGCTCTCGGGGGGCGTGCGAGGCCCGGCCTCGCGATTCATCGTGAAGGCGTCGCCGACGAGGAACCGCCTTCGTCGCGCCGCCGAGCCCCGCGCGCCCCCGACGCTCTCCCGAGCCGCGCCCCGCTCCTCGCGCTCCGCGACCGAGACCATTACCCTCATGCCCCCCTCACAGGCATTCGCGCCATACCAGTTACGCAGCTCACGCGAAGATGAACCCGTACTTGCTCCTCGCGCTCGGCGTCGTCGCGACTTCGGGACCGTCCGCGGAGCTCTCCACGGCGTGGACCCCTGTGGGGCGCCGGCGACGGGACGCCCGCGTGGCCCAAAGGACCCCGGGGATTTCAGATTGGAGCAAGAAATTGCGGGAGAACTACGACGTCGTGTCGGCGAGCGACCACGAGTGGTGCACGCTCACGCGCTACAACTGGGCGTGCGTCGGCGACGCGTACGCGGCGGTGCTCAATCGCACGCGCCCCTACCGGCCCTGGCGCTTCCAGCTCGCCAACCTCCCGCTGGGCACGCGCGTCTTCGCGGACGGGAACTCGTACCTCGCGGAGCGGATGACGACGCTGCTCTGCGGCTGTCATTCCACCGACGTCTTCAAGTTCGACGTCACGGTAGTGTAAGCGAAATTGAGCCCCAGGAACTTCACATCGAGGTCGTTGTAGAGCCACTTCATCCGCAGCGCCGGGTGGAGGAGCGGCGCCATCGCCGCCGTCGCGTTGGCCCAGGCTCGGGCTGAAACTTCCTCGCGGAAGGCGTCGGGCGTCGCGGACCGCACTTTCGCTCGCGGGGTGCCGGGTCGGTTCGGGCCCGGGAGCCGGTGGTGCTGCTCGTCCTTCTTCATGGACGCGGCCGACGTCCGGTGGATGACGCCGAGCATGACGTCGGGCTCGAGGCTGACCCCCAGGAACGACGCGAGCCGGTAGTACTCGTCGACGGGGTTCGCGGCGAGATCCTCGTAGAACAAAATCAGGCTCGGGTGCGTCCGCCGGACCAACTCGTCGTGCCAGTAGTAGCGGAGCGACACGAGCGCGGCGCACTTCGGCACCGTTTCGATTATGTAGTCCTCGGAGGCTTTCCCTTGCGACGTCAGGTTGACACGTTCGTTGTAATGAGCCCAGCTGACGACAACGGCGCGCGGGTCCCGCAGGATGAGCACGTAGCGCGCGTTGACCGGGAGCGGCCCGAGGAACGCGGGCGGCACGCAGGCCTCGGACCCAATGGTGATGCCGTCATCGACGCAACGTTTCAAGAACGCATCGAAAGACCGTTCTATAGCGACATGAACCGCAATCGCCTTGCTCATGGCGCCCGGCAGCCTATGCTTTTCGTTAGAAACAAGTATTTCGTTGGCAAAGTTCGCGGAACGCGTCTTATTATTTGCCTTGCCGCCGCCGGCCGTAATGATGGCAACGGCGATGACCTCCAACCACGTGGTACCACTTTTTGGTTGGCCGTGGGTTTCCACGACGGTTCCTTCAGTTTTGTTCGTCTGAACGCGAGTGTCGTTGTTCGTTGCGGTGCCGAGGGCGAGCACGGCGATGGAGAGGACACGGAGTCTCATAATGTGTATATATATATATACCGGAGTATAGTTCATGTGGGGCGGGCGGGCCAGTGGCGAGGAGAAAAAAGAAAAAAAAAGAAAAAAAAAGAGGCGCCGAAGGCGCCGAAGGCGCCGGAGCGGGATCATCCCATGGCTGGACAAGGCCGACATCGCCGTCGTGACGATGCCGCTCGGCCTCACGTTCGGCGGCGACGGGAAGAAGGCGACGACGCTCGCGAAGAAGGCCCGCGAGGCGCTCGCGCTCGTCGGCTTGACCGTGGCCGACGTGCTCTTCTACGCGCGCGACGGCGGCGAGGCGGCGGTGGGAAACGTGCTGCGCGAGATGGGGAAGGAGGAGCTGGAAAAGAAGGCGGAAGACTCGGAGGAGCGAATGCGGTACAGGGCGCTCTACGAGCCGTGAAACCGCTTCTGCTGGATGAGGAATGGATCCCCATCTCAGAGCTGACCGCCTTCATTGCCTTGGCTTTCCAACAAGGGGCCCACTGAGCAAACCAGGTAGTCATTTTGGGGATCGATAACACCTTGGCTGGCTGCGCCATCCAAGCGCGGTCCGTCGGCCTTCATTCTGGCATCTTTAATTGAAACTGAGCCCAACCTAATTTACTTACTTCCTTTAGCTCAGGCTAGTGGGAGATACGAAAGGCCAAGTGGACGGAAATTGCATTTACGGCAGGAGTGAGACCACCTATCATCATCCAGCTAAGTAAAACTGCTGGTTGTGGTGGTCCTCTCCCAGCTCGCCGCTTCCCCGGGGTCCGGGGTGGCGCGGCTTATATTTTTGGTGCCATGGTTTAATTTAATATCGGCTCTGGCGTGATTTTCCCATGATATAAGATTTTTCATGATTTTCTCCGATGACGTTGGCTCAGAATGATTTAATACTGCAACAATTTGAATTTTGATTTAATGACTCGAAGGCGACTTTGTTCGAAGACGACTTTCATGGCGTAGAGAGGACAAAAGCGGGCTGCGGACGACGACGGCGAGGCGGCCTTCCTAGCCGACCTCGATGGCCTAAGTGCACACCCTAGGAGGTGGCACACTGGGTGTTACCCTAGTCTCATTGAATCGCGTTGAAGCACCTCCTGCTCACGTTATGGGCTGCGACCGGGGGCCCCAGGGGCGGGTCTGGAGATCTTCTTAGTACCGACTAATCGCGCAGTGAGGCTCAGCGTCCGCGAAATCGTGCGCGCGTCGTCTTAGTCGGTACTAAGAAGGCGATCTTCACGTCGAACGGGGCAGCCCCTCGGTCGACGGTCGTTTCGTGTGGTTTATGTACGAATTCGCCCTTCCCGGGTGGAATTAAGATGCTACTTACGGACATCCGTTGCCCTTGATTGTGGGTTCGAATTTCCACGCGCGCGTGACGACGGCGGCGGCGGCGGCGGCGGCGGCGGCGGCGGCGGCGGCGGCGGCGGCGGCGGCGACGACGACCGAGCGACCGACCAACCCAGCCCTACTGAAGGGAATCGACTGGGGCGATGATACACGATCCCCGATGCTGCGAGAGTTCGACAGACATGAGAAAGGAGTCGAGGGGATCAATCGCGCCCCATCCCAGCCCCCGAAGGACCGTTTGAGTCACCATGCGATTGGCAGCACTTCGCGTCTACGCATGTGCTTCGGGCTCACACTAGCGGAGCACGAAGCTGGTGGGATCGTTGCATAATTCCGCATTATCGCGCGGCTGTGGGCTGATAAAGACGCTCAAACCATAGCTTCGTCTTAAAAAAAGGTTCTCGTTCCGTCCGAGGGTTAGAATGAGCTAGTGGGGCTAGCCTAGGGGTCCCTGCTCCCCCGCAGTGGGAGAGCTGAAGCCGAGTTGGAAACGGCGTGGCTCGACCACTGGGGAAAATCCGCGAGTGGGAGCCGGAATGCAGTTTGCCCTTAACGGAGCTTGAGGGGCAGTTTACTATGGCGAGGCAGTGGGGGGGAATCAAAATCGCAAAATCGTAAGGGGTTTGGGGTATTTCGGGTCCGCGGAAGGGCTCTGGAAAGGTTCTGGAGGGCTTCTGGAGGGCTTCTGGCACGTGGTTTGGGGCGGGTCGCGCCCCCTAAGGCGTGGGCGGTGCGTCAGAGGTCCCCGGCGAGGCGTGAGCGGCGGTGTTGAGGTCCCTTTTGAAGGGCAAGCGGCGGTATCTGTGGTGTCTGTCTGGTTAGCGTCACAGCGACGTGCCAGATAGCACCAGGCTCAGCGAGGTTGCACAGTCGCCGGACAGTGCACCTGCTGGATAGTAGTTTGACTGACGTCATAGCGACGTTAGGAAGCTAGTAAACTATCCTAACTCTCTAAGCCCGGCCTACTTCCTTGGTCGGCCACCACCACCCGGCAATGGCCTTCCTGTTGCCTTCGTTCCGTTCCTCACGAAAGCCACTTTTTTCCCGGGGGTTTGCGCGGCAGACACGGCATCCAGCGCGCGCTGACGCTGCCGTTCCGCTGCCCTCCAGGTCTGCAACCGAAACATCACTTAAAGACAATTCGATGAATCGAAGATTACCTGTACACATTCACATTCGTAGACGCGTCGCGACATTAGAATGCGACGCTATTGCGCCTCGGAGAAGCGCCGTGGACCTTGCCGAAGACCCTGACCCGACGAACGACGGGCTGCCATGGAGGACGAGTGGATGGAGGCGCTGCACAGGTACGTGAGCGAGGGCCAGTGGAGCGAGGTGTCGCATTTCGTGGACCGCAACGCCGTGCTCTTCGGCGGTAGCAGCACGGAGAAGGAGCACGGCGAGGGCGAGTACGCGCTCTACGTGCAGTTCCGGTCGCTCGTGGCCAAGGTTTTGGACTCGCTCCTGGAGGAGCTGGGCTGTCGGAGCGAGGCGGACGAGGCGCGGCTGGCGATTTTTTTGCGGGAGACGGCGGAGTCGCCCGCGAGCGGCCCGCGCGAGGAGATGGCGAAGCGCGTGTTGCAGGACCTGCTGGACATCGACGACTTCGCGGCATTCGCGCGGACGATGCGGGCGCGGAACGACGAGTTGGAGACGGGCGAGGCCGTCGAGCTCGAGCGCCAGCTGTCGGCGGCGGCGGACGCCAAGGCCCGCGCGACGCCGGAGACGCCGCTCGGCGCCAAGCACTCGGTTTTCAGCGACAGCGACGCGGATCTCACGCCCGTGACCACGCCGGGGGGCGGCGTCGACTGGCAATGGTCGACGGTCTGGGAGGAGGCCTTCGAGAGCGCGGAGGCGGCGAACGACGACTTCGAGCTGCAGCACGCGACGGCGCTGAGCCTGCTGGAGGCGCACGAGCGCGGCGCGCTGCCCGACAAGGACCGGCCATTCGTCGGCTGGGCCCAGGCCTTGGTGGCCGTCGCGAGCGAGATGAACGGCCTGCATTGGGCGCAGGAGCCTCGGCGCGCGCGGCGCCTCCACAGCGACCTCGTGCGCCAGCGCTTCGCCGTCGAGCTCCGCGTCGCGCAGGAGACCGCCTTCGAGGACAGCGCCGCGCGTGCCGAGGCCGCGCAAAGCGCCGCTGTCGGCGGCGACGACGAGCGTTCCGCGTGCGTTGCCGCGGCCCTGGCGCGCTGCGAGACCCTGCGGGGCGCCGTCGCCGTCGCGCGGGGTCGCTGCGTGCGGAACGGCGCGGTCCGCGACGCGAACCTCGAGCTCGGCTACCTCACGATCCGTGGGCTCCTCCACCGCCGCGAGGACCTCCCGAGCCACGCGACCGAGATCTACGACGCCCTCACGAGCCGGGCCGAGGCCGAGGCCGAGGCCCACCGCCGCGGCGACGCCGCCGGCCCCGACGGCGACGGCGACGGCGACATCGGCGACATCGGCGACGGCGACGGCGACATCGGCGACATCGGCGACGGCCGCCGCGGCGCCCGCGGCGCGGCGCCGTCGGCCATCGCCGCGGACCTCGTCGCCTGGTGCGCCCTCGAGGCGGAGCTCGGCACGGTCCAGAAGCGCCTGCACGGCATGCTCGGGGACGACGGCGCCTCGGACCAGGCCAAGGCGGCCGCGGTCTGGAAGCTCGCCGCGAGGCGCGGCGCCGACGACAAGGCGGCCGAGGACGAGGGGCCCAAGGACGGGGCCTACGACGCCGGCGGCGGCGCGGTTTCGTCGGACGGCGACGTCCTCTGGCACGAGTTCCTGGACCTCGACACGAACTATTGCTACTACGTCAACACGGCCACCGGCGAGAGCCAGTGGAACCCGCCCGACGAATTCTTGCCGCTCGACGAGTCCGTCGAGGTCGCCGCGGGCCTCGCCGAGGAGCAGGCGGCGGCCTACCACGCCGAGGCCGCGCATGCGGCCTACAAGGAGGAGCTCCCCACATCGGAGTACTGGGACGAGCCAAAGGCGGCCAAGGACCCGCCGCGCGCGCCCGAAGCGGACGCGGCGCCCGCGGAGGCCAAGGCCGAGGCCAAGGACGACGGGCCGACCTTCA